AGGTGACTTACGAGGTCCACCTTGAAGGAAGAGTAGGGTTCTCCCACAAAGGAAAGAAGCAATAGGCATTCTGAGGAAAAAAAAAAAAAAAAAAGAGGTGGACTAGCATGGAGGCAAGATAGTATATGGCATATTCTAGAAGCAGCTATTGTGTGTGATTGAAGTGTTTGAAGTGTTTGTGATAACCAGTGAGGTAGTGGAGTCAATGTTTGAGAAACAGGTCGAGGCTTTGTGATGGACCTTTTAAGACATACTAAGGACATTAAGCTTTATTTTGAAGGGAGTCATGAACCACTAAAGTTTTTTTTTTTTTTTTTTTGAGACGGAGTTTTCGCTCTTGTTACCCAGGCTGGAGTGCAATGGCACGATCTCGGCTCACTGCAACCTCCGCCTACTGGGTTCAGGCAATTCTCCTGCCTCAGCCTCCTGAGTAGCTGGGATTACTTTTTTGTATTTTTAGTAGAGACGGCATTTCACGATGTTGACCAGGATGGTCTCGATCTCCTGACCTTATGATCCACCCGCCTCAGCCTCCCAAAGTGCTGGGATTACAGGCTTGAGCCACCACACCTGGCCGAACCACTAAAGTTTTTTAGGTAGAGGAGCAATTAATTGAAGTCTACAGTTTTTAGAGGATGGGTATGTTAGTTTCAGCAAGACATGTGTGTAGTGGCAGGGGGAAGTATGTGCATGGAGCTTAGAGGCAGGAGAACAACTGGAAGACCATATAATAACCAAGTTAAATTATGAAAACGCAAAGTAGAACAACTGCAGAGAGAATGGAAAGGAAGGGATTTAAGATGATTTTTAAAGTGTCTTAATATTGGATATAGGCCAAGAGAAACAGAAAGAGTCAAAATCAACCTCTGAGAGTGAAGGACGCTTGTGGGGTGGATTAGAGGTTAAAGAAATTGCCAAGCAAAAGGGCCAGCTAGGGACAAATAATATGCAGCTATAAAAAAGAATGAAGTCATGTCCTTTGCAGGGACATGGATGAAGCTGGAAACTATATTCTCAACAAACTCAGGAACAGAAAACCAAACACTCATGTTCTCACTCATAAGTGGGAGTTGAACAATAAGAACATATGGGCATAGGGAGGGGAACATCACATACTGGGGCCTGTTGTGGGGTGGGGAGCTAGAGGAGAGATAGCATTAGGAGAAAAACCTAAGATAGATAACATGTGGTTGGGTGCAGCAAACCACCGCAGAACATGTATACCTATGTAACAAACCTGCACATTCTGCACATGTATCCCAGAACTTAAGTATAATAATAAAAAAAGAACTGTTAAGTATTGTTGACAGCTGAAATAAAGTCAGAAAACACAAATCTTTCAATCAGGATGCATATGCAATTTTCTCCAAAAAGTCTAAATATATCAGGTCACAGCTAAAAAATAAAATCAGAAAAACTATCTGAAATCATTAATGACTTTGGCAAATTTTGTTATCTTCTCTAGAAGGAAGGGTGTAAAAAAAAACAACTATAATAGCAGTAGGATGAATTTCCATTTCTGGTAATGGTAATGAGAGAATTTGGACTGATATACCCAATGTAGTAAAAAAGAAATTTGAGATATAAAAACAGTAAAGACGCTGGACATGGTGGCTCATGCCTGCAATCCCAGCACTTCGGGAAGCCGAGGCAGGTGGACCATTTGAAGCCAGGAGTTCAAGTTGAGCCTGGCCAACATGTCGAAAACCCGACTCTACTAAAAATACAAAAATTAGCCAAGCATGGTGGCACGTGCCTGTAATCCCAGCTACTTGGGAAGCCAAGGCACAAGAATTGCTTGAACCCAAGAGGCAGAGGTTATAGTGAGCAGAGACGGATCACATCACTGTGCTCTAGCCTGAGCGAAAGAGAACAAAACAGCAAAGAGCCTTTAACAAGATGGAGAAGATGTGGCACATGAACATTTAGGAGAAGACCAAAAATCAGAGAGATAAGCTCACTTTTAAAAGCTTTTGCCCTTGGGCATATGACTGTCAGGAAAAAAGATCTGAGAAACCAGCTTTATACTTCAAGTAGCTTTCTGTGCTTCACAGAGAAGTCAAAGTCCTTGGCCCTCAGGTGGGGCTTTAATTAACTAACCCAGCTTTATGCTGGTGTCAGGAAAGGTCATACTCTCCTTCAGGGGAGCAATGAACCTACTATTCCTTACACAGATTTGCAGCCTTCTTGTCACAGAGGTGATTCAGGGAACATTAGGAGTTGCACTTTGTCTAAGATGATTCTGGTTTGATACCGCCCCCAGGTGCCTGGCATAAGCAAACCAGTCTTCTCTGGAGGAAAACATTATCACTTAGGTCTTAACTTACTCTTACAATCTTTAATTATAATGTAATTAAAAAATATATTTCCAGCACAGAGTCAAAGATATCCAAGCAACTAAGAAATTAAGACACCATGATGAGAACTAGCAGGAACAGTAATAATAGAAACAAATCCAGTAACACTTGAGATACTATAGTTATCAGAAATATAAAAATACACTTAGAATGTCTGAAGGAACATAAGCTGAGATTGACAATTTTGTCCAAGAATTAGACACTATAAAAATGACGTAATAGTAGCAGAGAAATATTGGTCTCTTTTGTCAACACTATTTGGCCACATTGTTTAAAATTTTTACATTTCAGAATTTTACATTTTGTATTCTTTTTGTGTTTTTTTTCTTGACACATTGAAAAAACCCAAATCCCACACTGATAAGCCTAATATATTTTCATTTATTTTATAATTCAATAAGAAACATATTAGTTACACAAAAGATATGCCTACATGTGTTTCTGTGTGTATCTGTGGGTGTGGTGAGCACCCAGGTGCATGCATTCACAAACTTATTGGAAGCACCTGTGATTTCTGCCAGGTTCATTCTTATTGTCAACTATTCAGTACACATCTGGGTAATGCAATGTCAAGACATCCAATGTGACCACGGAAAATTTACAGTTAACACCTGGTCATGGGGAAATGAAAATTAGCTGCAATTGTTTACAACCTAAAGGCATTAATTATAAGTATTACCAAAGGTTAACTATCATTTAACAAATTGCCTTAACTGTGAGAAGGTCAGATATTCATACTGAAAAGCAAATATTACTGGTGGACTGAAAACTCTGTTAAGTCAGATTCTTTCTTGAGTATAGGTCTTGCTTGACAGAAAAGGGGGGGCACTGAGTAGTTATATTCCTCAGGGGTCTGGAGGGAGAAAGAGGACTGAGAGGTAGGAAGAACTGGACAGAGAAAGGAGGGAAAGTGCATCAGAACTGAGCTCTACCAGTTTCACATTTGTTTGGCCTCGTGAGATTACTCAGTAGTTGTAAAATCAAATGACTTTATCAATATAGTGCCCATTTTTCATTTTAGAAGGGTAACACAGTATATTACTTACTCCCATTGAAGTTGAATGAAAAATCCATAATAAGCTCTTCATTGTTTGTACCTAGTTTAGCCAACTTAGTTCGTTAGAATCTGGTCTATTTGGTAAGACAAAAACCGGCCAGTTACATTTAACAACTGTTCATCTGTGCACTCTGTAATAAAAGCGTCAGCAGATTTATTTTCCCCATATAAAGTAGAATTTCCAATTCACACCATGTACTCTGTGACTATTATGGACAGTATTTACTCAGAAGGAATGCTGTGCAAGTTTGGAAAAACTATCTCTAAGAGCAGAGGGAAGGTCATTTGACAAAACCAGAAACAAAACCTATACATGGGCAAAACATGAAGAGAACTAAAGTTTGTCATTCTTTTCAAGAACAAGTTTGAAATCCTAAAACAATGTGACGATAGCAAATCAGACAACCCTTTCTCTCCCTCCTCTTCTCTCAAGCTCTGTATAATCAGAATGCCTCCATTCACTTAGCAAATATCAGCTTTTTTTGAGGAGGGGAACCTGCTTGGAATTACTGAGGTAACACTAAAAAATAACTTCTAATTCTTCTCTTCCTGAAAATTGCCTATTTTTTCTCAGTTACTTTTTAAAAAGTAGAATAACTTTTAAAGGCTCCTTATGTACTTTTAGGCCACTTTTAGAGCCCCTTTCCTCTCCTTTTCCTTCTTTTTTTTTTTTTTGTTTCTCAAATTGGGAAGTAACTTAGTACCATACAGGGGAACCTGAACTGCATCTCATAATAATATAGTTTCATTCAATGGCATAATAGATACAGTAACATTCAATCTGTGTTGTGACATAAAACTCTTGAGATTGTAACTCAGGAAATCATAGTGCATAAGAATAGAGGAAAAAACAAATAAGGATAAAGTCAAAACTGATGTTACAGACTTGCAATGCAAATTTCAAAACCAAGATAAAATCCTTTCTCCTGCACAAAATGTAAAATACCAATATCTTATCTTAAGAAAGGTAAGCAAGCTACGACACTGAAAAATCTTTACTATCACCTTTTCATTCACAAAGATAAAAGAAAAATTCCACATTAACCATCCCAGAAAAGTGATACACCTTAAAACCAATCTTTTCACTTACCCTAGAGTATGCACATTATGATCTCTTAAATCCTCTTAATTCCAGTACATCCAGAACATATATGAATTCTTATAACATCGATTTAAGAACAAACTTGAACCAAATTGTTAATTACAACAGAGATCATAACAAAACTCCCTGAAACTCCTGGGAGAGCTATGAGTATGAAATCCAGCCTCTAGACTCTGGTGTATACTGTGTCTATCTTTAACTTGAAAATGATTTGGTTTCACATTCCACTGAAGTCCCACTGGCAGATGCCTTTGGTAAGCTCGCCAATGGCAGGCTTTCACGCACCGTCCCTCCCCCTCCCTCTGACTGAGCTTCCGCTGTTACATCTAATGCTGATTTACTCAGCTGTCTTTTTACCTGTCTCTGCGTGGGTAAAAGGAGATGCTTTCATTGATGGATATTACGGAAACACTTGGAACCTGAACATTAGCCCGAGGACTCACTGTGCTTCCCCTGCTATCCCCTCCCCCTACTCGCTGCCAGAAACCAACTGACTTCCAAACTTGGCTGCATGAAAAAGAATGTTCTCTGATTGGCATTCCTGGAAGCAGAAAGCAAGGCAGCTCAAGTTTTGTACTGTTACTCAGCATGAATAACTCCCCAGTTACACAAAATACAAACAAGTAAGTTTTGTTTTTGTTTTTCTCAACTTTGAGGAGAACCGAAAAAATATTCTGAGGCATTAAAAATATTTTTATTGTAGGACAGCGTTTAAGTTTTAATATCCACATATAATCTTACCCAGAATGGCTATGGCTCAGTAGGAAAGGGAAATTGCTTTTTTTGGTTAAAAGTTGAATGAGTTTTAGTAAATGAGTTGGGATCCATTAGAGTAAGAAATCATTATGCTGCCTGCTTGCCAGTGTTTTGGAGGGCAACTGTGCATTTTCTGCTGGAGAAAACCTTGCTTGTAAGAATTATAGAAAAACTAATTTCAACCAAACAGCAGGAGAGGGTGCAAAAAACACTTATACCTTCCGATTGAAACTTCTTTTTCAGGACTGTCTTGCGAAACTTGAGTGTGGACTGGAAAAGAAAAGGAATGTGTGTATGTGTGTGTGTGTGTGTGTGTGTGTGTGTGTGTGTTATACACATGTATACCTGAAAGAAGAGAGATGGAGTGAATGGAAACAAGGAAGAAGATACATTTCAATTAAAGTCTGACATAAATTAATAATATGGGGTCCCTTTAAATCATCATTAATTAACTTGTATTTCATATTTATTAATATTTAGTGGTCACTGGGGCCAAAAGATCTCCTGCCTCTGAAAACAACTAACCTCTTTATGTTCAAAACATGCAATTCTATAGGCCACACAACTTCTTTAAGATCCTGATGAAGGCTTTATAATTTTGGTAATCGGACACATCTCAACCCTAAGCATTTTGGATTTTCCAAATTTCAGTGAGCTGTGGCTGCCAACTCTGGGCAACTGTCAGCTGGCTGGGCTAAGGGCAGTGGTGTGGCTGCAGCTGCTCATGGGAACTTACATGGACATCTCAAAAATATTCAATGGCAAAAGGTTGACGCCAGAAAGCAAGTTTTCTGGTTTTGCTTGTTGATGGTTTTAGATCTTCTAATTTAGGTTATATTTTACCATATCTACAGCAACACCATTTTAAGAAACCATGAGGGAAAACTTGATTAATTGGCAGGATATTACTCACCTATTTCAGTGATATTTTGACACCCCATATACATTGGTGGCCTATCAGCCTTTTAGCTGAACTTTGTTATCAGATGTCTGTGCATGTACCCCAGAACTCAAAGCATATATATAAAAAAGATTAAAAGATAGAAAGAGAGGAGTAAGAAACTTCCCTTATTTTTGTCCCCAAAGTTGACAGTTTCTTAGGGAAACTGCAGGCTATATGTAATGCTGATGGACAGGAGCATTCTAATGACTTCACAAATGAATGGAGGGAAAGAACCCAACAGTCCAGAAGGACACATTTCTGTCCCCGTGTTTCTTTATCCCTCTGTCAAAAACACTCCTCCCAAAGCTAATGGATGGTGTCAAAATACCAATAAACTAAGAAGGATGGACAGAGGTGTGGCCGTCAGTGGTTCACATTCAGCTGCTTTGTTCACCTCAGTTGTATCTCAGAGTGAGCTCTAGCATATAACTGATACTCAAAATATGGTTGCTGAAACTGAAGAACTGCTCATCTGCAAATGTATATCTTAACCTATGGAAAATGGTTATTTGTTGGTCCACATCTTAAATACATTTTGTATTTGTCTTGTGAAAAATATGCTTCTCTTCAAGCAATTAACCAAAATATTATATAGAATGTACATTATGTACCAAGAACCTTTACTGAAGCCAAAGAAAATCATTATACATCTTGTGTGTGTATGTATGCATGTGTCCGATTATAAATATTAACATGGCAAATATTTGTTAAGAGCACTTCTGCTGATCTTGCTGCTTATGTGAAAAATAGAGAAAAAAGGAAATGTTAGGTTTGCTAATATTTTCCAGTAACTAGTAAACCATAACAACTTTCCTTATTGAACTATTACTGGCTACTCCTTACAGTGCAACATTCATCAGTCAGATATATGCTAAGTTTCCCAACTTTATCTCTGCTGCTGTTTCCATTGGTGCCAGTCTTACAGAACACTCTACAACAGGAATAGGAGCATTAGTCCAGATGCAAGTGTGAGTGAGCACAATAAATTTTTTTCTTCTTTTTTTCCCCTAACCTTCACAAGGCAATACATAAGATTTATAATGGCTAGAACTCAGTCTTTATCATGAGTTAAATATGTTGTTTTTCTCTTTCATAAGGACTAACATGAAACTTAGGATATGATCAGAAAAATAGCTTCTAGGGCTTGCTTCCAAAGAAAACTGGGCATGTAACAGGCAAATCAGATACCCTTGATTTATTATGAACAAGCAGGTAATCTCTCTTCCATTCTCCAGAAATAGACTTTATTAGCACAGTTCTGTGGATGGCAAATGCTGGTAGCAGGCTCCCCGCAAGGGCGACAAAGGTGTTCAAACACAGGTCTTAGCTGATCTGTGAGACACGCATGTGTATGAAGAACCTGGTCACTGAAAAGCAAATGACCTCTGTTCGTTTTTTCTTCCCTAATAAACATCCTTAAGAGACTTGGACAGGCAATATTCTCAGGGTGCTAGTTTTATAGCTGATTGTTTTTGTCATATCATTTATTTTTAAAAGCAGATAATTTTTATAAAAATAAATTAGGGTGGAATTGTAATTTTTGTTAAAAGAAAAAAACATTAACACATCCAAGTCATTTAAAATTAAGTAAAATAGACACTGTCCAAATAAATTAGAAAAACTACACGCAAACTGCATTAGAAAATAGGGGCTCTACAAACAAATATGGAAGATTCAAAGCAGCAGCATGCTATTTATAATCTTATTAAATGCCAATCAACTTAAAAATATAACAGCAATCTCTCTTCTAGATATATACCCGAAGGAAATACACCACCTCCTAAAGGTATCTGCACTTCCATGCGCATCACAGTGTTATCCACAATAACCAAGATGTGGAAACAACCAAAGTGTTTGTTGACAGTGGAATGAATAAAGAAATTGTGATATACATGCAAACTATTATCCAGCTCCACAAAAAGAGATCCTGCCATTTGCCACAACATGGATAAACTTAGAGGACATTATGCCAAGTGAAGTAGGCCAGGCACAGAAAGACAAATCCTATGTGATCTCACTTATATGCAGAGTCTTTAAAAGAATCAAATATATAGACATAGAAAAAAAGCAATAGTTACCAGGTTAGGCAGAAATGGGAAGATGTAGATCACAAGGTACAAAAAGAGAGTTATATAGTATGAGTAAGTCTAGAGATTTAGCATACAGCTTGATAATACTACAGTTGATAATACTGTATTGTATACTGATAATTTGCCAAGAGAATAGATTATTAGGTACTCATACACACACACACACACACACACACACATGCACACACACATATGTGTGTGCACATACATAAATACATGAAAGTAACTCTAGGAAACAATGGTATATTAATTTGTTTAACTGTAGCAATCATCTTACTATACATATCAAAATAAGTATATCAAAACGTCATGTTGTATACCTTACATATATACATTTTAAAAACAAAACCACAGCAGCATGCTATATATAATCCTATTAAATGCCAATAAAGTTTAAAACTGGTTGAAATGCACACCCATTATATATGCCTGTCACTGAAAATAACTTTAATCATGCAAGGGGCTGTATGTACAAATACAGTAATTACAAATTGTAATTAGTATTACATAATTAGCATAGTATTATAAATATAATTAGCATAGTATTAATGTAAAATATAATTCATGTTTTGATAGCAAATAATGGGGAACAATGATAGTTTTCATACAAATAGGATGGCATAGGCTAATGCTTACTTAGGTTAAAAATCAGCATGTATTTGCACATGCACCATGATTTCAACAATATTAGAACACCATAAAGGCTAAAAAATCTTATCAAAATGATTTGGGTTTTCTTTATGAAAAATTGTAATTTACTTTTTGTAAATTTTCTGTAATGATGTACACACACACACACACACACACTGTAATATTCAAGTTGAATAACTGCAGCATTTCCTCATTCTTTACTCTCTTCTATCTTTGAAGAGGCATCTCTAGTTCTCTGGGTCTCTGTTGCAGGAGCTTATAGGGGAGAGGAGCATAAGGGATGAAGATGCTCTTTAATGTCTAAAGAGACATAGAAGAAGATTAATGGGACTTACATTGGTTTTAAGAAAGGGCATGGAGGGAAATATCCAGAAAAACAACACTCTTAAGATGGTGAGAACAAGAAAGAGCAGGTAGGAAAAAGAATCTGGCACATTATGGGTAGCGGGTTGGGGGCAGACTGTAAGCCAGATTGCGGAGCAGCCACTTCGGTGAGGCAGAGTTAGAGGAGATCGTGATCTTGAAAAGGGAGTTAGGATATTTGGCCCTAGGGTATCTACCTGGGTGTTTTGTGATGTCTTCTCATAAAACCCAAGAGATTAACTTTTCCAGATATGGTAGTACCAAGTTTGTGTGTCTTTGGGACACTTCATGATATAGACACAAACCTTAAATCTATAGATATATTTGGTTACATAAACATTTTTGAAAAGTTGGTGCTAACTGTTGGGTTGTGGTGGCTGTTACAACTGGTTTTCTCTGATATGGGTAAGAAATCAGTTTTACTCCTGTCTATACAAACTTTCTGGATCATTTTCTTCTACTTGTACTTTCTTTCCTGTGTCTCTCTCAGTTCCCATGATGAATATCTACTACAGTCTCATGGGCTGACTGCTGAATGTAAAGTGGCCAGCCATTCTGTTTTGTCTGGTCTGAGGGATTTCCTGGGATACAGAATTTTCAGCACTGAAACTAGGAAAGTTCCGAGTTAGTCATCCTGTATATGTGATCTGGAAGTTTTAAAGTTATATGTATACTTTTGAAAAAGATCAGCCTTTTTATTAATTAGAAAGTATTTGGCCCAAGTAGACCAAGACTCTGAAAATAAAGATTTCATTTGGTTTTTATCCCTTGTTAGCTGCACAACCTGGGAGAGGTCCTCCACCAAGTGCCACTATTTCTT